GCGTGAGCCACGACGCCTGGCCTATTTCTTTTTCTTTTTGATACTGGAACTTTCCTCCTATTTGACTTAAGTAGGTCTTTCTCCGCACAGAGTCTGGTTGCTTCTCAGTTACCGCCTTCGTTCCTTTTCCTTCCCTGTCGCTTAACTCACAATTCCCTGGGGCTCTGTCTTTTGACCACTCACCTCTACACACATAGATCTTGCAATTCTCATGATTCCAACTGCAAGCTTATTGTAGAGGCCCCCTCTCTAGACCTCTGGCTCTGACCCCTCTCTTAAGTCTGACCTCTCCCCTTCAGCTGCCTGCCTGATGTCTTCCTTTGCTTGCCCAACCAAGAGTATGTCTTAGCAAAATGTCTGCAAAAGTAGACTCTTTTGCCTCATATTCTTGTTTCACTAATGGCATCACCATTCTTTTAACATTTCTAATTTCTTCTGCCTCACATGAAATCAGTGTATCATACACTGATCTACCTGCGATGGATTCTCTCGCTCTTCCTCCACTTTCCATCTTCACTGCCATTGCCTCAGGTTGGGCCTCACTCCTCTGTCTCCCCACCTTCAATATCTCTCTACACTTATCTGTGCAGGCAGTGGTGGCAAAGCGCACTCCTAACCTGGGGTTCCAGACTTTTCATCATGCTACTCCCAGTAGCCCACCAAGTTCAGGAAAGACTTGGGTTTCCTGACCCAGGCTAATCCACAGGATCCCCCCTGGATAAGAGGCCCTTCTTTTCTGGGGTAGCTAGTGCCAAGGGTAAAGTAAGTTTTGAGCTGCGCAAGAGTAAAGTTCAAGACAGAGGGAAGCAGAGTCTAGAAGCAAACAGAGAAATTAGAACATTTTCCCGATGATTCTGTTTGAATCTCTGAAGCCAGCTAAAGCCACTGCAGCCCCTGGACTTCCCAGTTACCTCACCTAGTTAACTCTGTTCTGCTGGTTTGGGGCTGGGTTTCTCTCCCTTGCAGTGGATCAGATCCTAACTGGCAGAGCATTCAAACCTTTCAGCCCATTAAACCCTACCCTTAAGATCCTTCTCAATCATTACCTTCCCAGAAAGTAATCTGCTTTTTAAGTTTGCATTTTGTCCATGATACCCACCAGATCATCTTAACAGTTGATTTAGAAGCTTTCTAGAATAGTGTTGGTTGCTGATCATACTGTGGAGATCTTATCAAACTACAAAAGTAAACGTTATGAAACTCACCAGAAAGTAAAAGGGAGGAAACAAAAACCTGTTGTGGGAGTAGTTTGATTTAAATGTAACAAAAGAGGAAATCCACTTCTCTGCACCCAGAAGGTGTTCAAGCCTGCACCTCTCCATCCCCCCATCAAGGGATCTTTATTTAGTGAGAATAACTCAAGAGATGAGAAAATGAGTAGCTTACATGAGGAGGTAGATTCTGGGCTTGATTCTAACCCCCATGATGTGGGGGTTCCTGAGAAGTGGAGGGAGAGTTGCAACAACGTGTATTAGGAGAGGTACTTGGGC